GTTAACTGGTAGAATGTTAACTCCTTCTATCCTGGGAGCTTCGCTGGTGAAATATGCATCCAGACCTGGCTACTTTTTGCAAAGCAACTGTTAGATACGTACAGTTATTAACTTCATCACAAACTTTCGTTTAAACACAATCCTACTAACACAGTTTGTGGTCATGTTACTCTTATGATTTCTTGAAGCCTTTTGTATGGGGAATATAGAAAGGAACAATATGAACTCAATTTAAAGCAAGTTTTTCTTAACTTTAATGATGCTCCAAAGATAGAACTTAGTTGTTTAGAAATGCTTAAGATTTAATTCCAAAAATAAGACCTAAAAAGGCTTAAAATTCAATTTCACTCGGGGTTTGCACTCAACTCCTGTAGGGGGGAGAGGTTCTGGTCTCCATTCTACTTTTAAAACCTACCCATTTCACTTCAAATAATTATGAAAACTCTAAATTATTCCATGTTTCTCTGTCATTTTTAATTACCTGTGTATCTTCATAAAAGGTATAATGTTTTTTTTCACACATTTTTAATAGAAGTATAATGCCACTTTTAAGTCTTTCCTACGGGATCAATTCTAATATTAATCCATATGCTTAGAAAGTTCATTAACACTTACGCCTGTATAGAAAGTTCACGTATCTTCATTAATACACTTTAATTTAAAATTTAGTTATCCGCCACACTTTCCATCTTTTAAATATGTTCTATTTCTTCTTCTGAAGTTCATAATTGCTTTCCCTTTTATATCTTTAAATGACCCCAATACCATATATATTTCAACCCCATTTTGAAGATGAATAAAACTTTTACTAGCTTCACAAAAATATAGTAGAAGCTATATTGTAAAGTATGAGGTAGGCATCAAATTCCATTTGAAATTTATAACACTTCTGTTTGTATTTTCAACACCCAGTCTGAGAATTGATGAGACTGAATTTGGGAGATTTTCTGACATTCAAGGTAAAGCAAAAAAAAAAACTCCAGTAAAGGACTTGATCTTTTAACTTAAAAAAATAGTTTATTGGCAAGAGAACTCTCCTGTCATTGATGTTCAGCCAGGAAGGTGTAGAGTATAGGGGGTTGGCTGGATTGTGGAGTATAGGGGATTAGCTGAACTGTGATCCTCATGCACAAAATAGTACAATTGTTCATGTTCAGACAGGAACTTGCACATAACCAGTTTACAGCATTAAGTAAACTTCACTGTGTTCGTGTTCAGAGAGAAACCTGCACTTAACCACTTTACAGCATTAAGTAAGCTTCACTGTGTTCGTATTCAGACAGAAACCTGCACTTAACCACTTTCCAGGTACCTACATATAACCACTTTACAGCATTAAGTAAGCTTCACTGAGTTCGTATTCAGACAGAAACCTGCACTTAACCACTTTCCAGGTACCTACATATAACCACTTTACAGCATTAAGTAAGCTTCACTGAGTTCGTATTCAGACAGAAACCTGCACTTAACCACTTTCCAGGTACCTACATATAACCACTTTACAGCATTAAGTAAGCTTCACTGTGTTCGTGTTCAGACAGAAACCTGCACTTAACCACTTTCCGAACTCCTTTCAATATCTCTAATCTGAAATGCCCACCAATGTGGCTAAATTTACACGAATTCCCAAGCTATGTCGCACAATACTAGATCTAGTTCCTCAGCACTATAAAGCCATTTTCTATAGGGTTTTTGCAAGTTCTGTCAAAAGAGATGGCCGAGGAAATCTTAGTAAAGCTTACTTACTGCTGTAAAGTGGTTATATGTAGGTACCTAGATCTCTGTGTATAGTATATTGAGTAAAAGACATTTCAAAACATCATACATATGATGTATGCTCCACCAATATATAAGCCTAGTTTTATTCTTGACTTGTCCTTGTCAAGGGTTACAGATGAGGGGTTCCCCAAACTTATATGACTCAGTGAGAAGTGGTAAATAAAATGATAGATTGGGCTTCAGTATATTTTTTTTGGTAGTTCAAATCTTTATTCAGAATTAAAATTAAAGAGAACCGGAAAGCTTTGTTTGGGAATCAACCCACCAAACATGTCTTCCTGAATTGCATACTGGCTGTTAAAAGTAATGTTGTTGTTTTTTTTCATGTGATTAATTAAATATTGTGGACATTTATTGATTCTATTTCAGATGTGATAGTTCTTGAAAAATTCAATTCAAAATGAATAATTTTAAGTTTAAGAGAAAGTTGTTTACATATCGGTTTTCAAGTTGTAGATATATGAGAAATAAAATGATATAAATTAATGATATTATTGACTTGATCACAGAATTCAGACGGAAGCCGAAGAAGGACCAAAATGAGGTAATCTTGTTCAACTGATTGTTTATGAAATTCACTATTATAATACTTATTCACAGTTATTATTATTATATGGCAACACTTGAGGTCCAGTAAAGTTTTATTTGGTGCTTAATATAAATTACATAATGCTATAATTAAGCAGCTAACATTCTGAAAAGAAAGTATTTTGGGGGTTTTATTTATTACTAGGTAAAAAAATGTTTTAGAAGCAACAAATTATAGTACAGACCTGAAAATGGATGATTGTGTTTACTTTTCAATATAATAAAGCTTGTTGATAAACATGTATTTTATATTCTGCTACATTTAAGGTGTGATAACTTGTTACTTCCAATAGAATCATATTGTCTGGTAATAGTTTGAAAACTTTGTTTTAATCACTTAATTTATAAAGCCTCATTCTTTTTTTCTTTCTTTTTTTTCTTAACATTCAACAATTTCAGCTAGTGGGTAGCATTATTGGATATTGTATTTCTATACATTATGATGATAATCTGTTAAATTTAAGGTGTCCTTAAAATAAACAGAGAAAAATGAGATTGTGGGTGGGGGGTAAGAAATGATTTTGAATGTATTATTTATTGTTTCATTGGTTCAGTATTAATCACAAAACTTTTTTTTATATGATCAATACTAACCCGTTTGTCTTTTAAAACGGTCACCACACATGACTAGTTAAGTGAAATCTGTTCTTTAATGTGACACTTTACTAGGTTCTATGTTTAGTTCACCTTTAAAGAAGTGGCCAAGTGAGTGTGCTGGGCTACATATCAGAAGATCCAAGGTTAAGCCTATGAAGTGACACTGAACATGATCAATACTTTCAGTTGTTGGCATGTTATAAAAGTGACACTTAGTCCCACTATTTAATTGTGGGTAGCATTGCTGGTGACTGTTTGTTGTTTGTCCTCTGGTTGGCCAGCAGTTCTAAGTTAGAGAAGATTGGGCCTCAATCTTGTAGTCTTTGAGCTGTAGGTGTTGCATAAGGGCCGTTCAGGTCAAAAGGACCAAATACTTCTAAAGACAGAATAATAAAATAACATAAACTTAATACAGCAGTAAAAAAAGTTATATTCAGTTACATCTGTAAAAACAGCTATGTAATGTGTGTTTTATGTACTGCTAATGTAGATCCTGATAAGTAAAAAAAAAATATTTTGGTGGCTTAAATCTCATCTGAAGCCAAAGTTATTCTTATAAAAAAGAACTACAAGAGGCAGCATCAAAGAAAATCTAAATATATCACTTTTATCATCTTTAAAAAAAGCAGCAGATGAAATATATAGCTCGGATGTTTAGACGTATTCATATTGTTGTCTTTCATGTACACCACATAAGAATCAAGCTCTTAAAACTGCATCTGTGACTGGCTATGGCATGAACATATTTTGATCATGTCAATTATTACTTTTTTTAGATTCTTGTTTTTTGGCTGTTTGGTTTACCTGAATAGGGTATATGTTCTAATGTAATGATTTTTGGAAGAAGTGAGCATAAAACACTTGAAATATGTTTCTAAAAAATGGTATAAATACACATATTTAATGTTATAGAGTGTAATCAGCATTTATTTATGAAATTCATTGGTTTATCACTTAATTACATGTCTTTTGAATATTGAAATCAGATCTGTGGTACAGATTTGCCATAGGAAGAAAAAATTTCTAAACTCCTCTTGCTGAGAAGAAAAATTTAGAAAGAATAATTTGGTTTTTAGAGTTAATAAAAAATGGATTTATGATTTATGATTGAATGTGTATTAAAACAGTTTTTTTTTGTACTATAGCAAACACAACGTAGTAAACAACTATCTCAGGGTCCTCCCACTACTTCTCAGCATAGTCAGCTAAATATCAGAAATAATGTTCAGGAAGGATATCACCAATTTGATGATAGCTGTAATTCCCAGCAGCCACTGTTGCAAGACAGTAGAGGTAGTTCCCAACAGATGTACCAATCTCTTCAACTAGGACAACCCGAACACAGGACCATTGCCCAACAAGTGTATCAGCAGCACCATCCTGAGCACAAGTCTTTATCACAACAGATGTATAAACAGGACCAAGCTGCTGGTCGAGGGGTCTCTCAACAAATATACCAACGACAGCATTCTGAAGAGAAGCAACACATGTATCATCAAGGGATACCACCACATCTACGTTCTTTGCATCCAGAACTGCATGATATTCTTCAAACAGATGAAGCAGTGGACTTAGAGTTTAACCAGGAGTATGAGGACATAGGTGGCCAGTCCTCCTCACTTGATCTCAGCCTCAACTCCTCGTACACTACTTTCAAACAAGAAGGTATGCCACTTAATACAGTTAGTAGTCCTTACAGTACCATTTACTGACTAAGTCTAGTAAGACACACTCTTTCTTGCTAGTCTGGTAAACTCCTGTTAAAAATGTCTAAGGAATAACCTTGGTTTCAAAAGAGGGGATGCACCTTCAAAAATGTACGAGTGATTTTGATACTAAGTTAATTGTGCATTATTTTTATCAACCACCCTTTTTTTATATAAAAATAAGGAACAGAACTTGCTTGAATTAAAACCAAAGATGCAAAGATATCCTCATAGTAGCTGACCAGACTAGTTTAATGTTTTTACTTACTCTGAATTGAAAGAGTTTAGCATTTGTTTAAAGACTAGAAATATGTAATGACTATAGTATTAACTGTGTCATTTCATGTGACCTTTGACCACTGGCTATTCCTTCCATAAAATAAAAACACTGCTCAACTACATAAACATCAGGAATTTTAACAAATTATCCATTTTCTAGAATGGAAGGATATCACTGATATCCTTCGATGTTTTCCTCCTCATAATGGAAATACTTAACCAAGTGCATGAAACTTAGTGTAAATTTACTAAATAGTATCTAGATTTGACTTAAAATTTACTGTAATATGATTTAGTTTATCATTTTTTAGGTTGTGAAGTTTCTCAATTTTTGGTGAAAGAAACATTAAAAATACTTCCTTTTGTCGTTGAATTTTTTATTTTATATTGTTGATCAGAAAGTTCTGTTTTTCTATATCCAATCAATTTGAACTCTTTTGATATCTGTTAACATATTTGTTTTGATACATTATTTTGTTAATTACAGTTGTCAACAGTTCCAGTTATAAATAAAAAAAATATATCAAAATTAATAACAATTTATTTTAGTGGCCTTTTTTAATATTGTGTTATGTACACACACTTGTTTCAGTGTGAACTTTGCATTGTATGTATGTATGTATGTTGTTTTTAACTTACCCAATCCATGATCATATTATTAGAAATGTTAAACTTCTTGTTTATTTATTTAAAAATTATTATTATAAACTCATTCAGGTCTACCTCAGTTGTCTTTACAAAACCAGCCACCAGTGATTAATTGTCAAAATCTAACTATGTCTCAACCATCGACAAAGATGGCACCACCTGTGCTGAAGAAGCAAGTTATCCTGTCTCCACCAACTAGTTCAGGTTAGAATTAAATTACAGCTTTTCAAGGACATCAGATTTTGTGTGTGCATGCAGTCATTATCATTCAGATTTGGAGCGAGCACTGATAGTGAAGTGTTTGAAATAGCTTTGTGAAAAGTGAATGATTTTCAGTTAGTGAGGCTGAAAAACAAACTACATTGTACAGTATAGTTTTTTGAACACCACCCTTTACAACTAATGATAATTTTTATTATGATGTTGAAATAATTTAAAAAAATGGAAGCTGTTAGTTTATACTGTATGTTAGCAGCAACTTTTACACCCACCAGTATACTAATCAATTAGTACGTCCACCAGTAGATTAATAAACTTGATCTAGTGACTGTATGTTAGCAGCAACTTTTGTACCCACCAGTAGACTAATGAACCAGTCCATCCACTAGTAGACTAATGAACCAGTCCATCCACTAGTAGACTAATGAACCAGTCCATCCACTAGTAGACTAATGAACCAGTCCATCCACCAGTAGACTAATGAACCAGTCCATCCACCAGTAGACTAACCAACCAGTCCATCCACCAGTAGACTAACCAACCAGTCCATCCACCAGTAGACTAATCAACCAGTCCATCCACCAGTAGACTAATCAACCAGTATGTCCACCAGTAGACTAACCAACCAGTCCATCCACCAGTAGACTAACCAACCAGTACATCCACCAGTAGACTAATAAACTTGATCTAGTGACTGTATGTTAGCAGCAACTTTTGTACCCACCAGTAGACTAATGAACCAGTCCATCCACTAGTAGACTAATGAACCAGTCCATCCACTAGTAGACTAATGAACCAACTTTTACACCCACCAGTATACTAATCAATTAGTACACCCACCAGTAGACTAATCAACCAGTCCATCCACCAGTAGACTAATCAACCAGTACACCCACCAGTAGACTAATCAACTAGTCCATCCACCAGTAGACTAATCAACCAGTACACCCACCAGTAGACTAACCAACCAGTATACTCCACCAGTAGACTAACCAACCAGTACACCCACCAGTAGACTAACCAACCAGTACATCCACCAGTAGACTAATAAACTTGATCTAGTGACTGTATGTTAGCAGCAACTTTTACACCCACCAGTATACTAATCAACCAATACGTCCACCAGTAAACTAATCAACCTACATATCTGTGGACTGATCAACTAGTACATCTACCAGTAAACTAATCAACCTATATATCTGTGGACTAATCAACCAATACGTCCACCAGTAAACTAATCAACCTACATATCTGTGGACTGATCAACCAGTACATCTACTAGTAGACTAATCAACCTACATATCTGTGGACTGATCAACCAGTACATCACCAGTAGACTGATGCACTACTAAAAGACATGCATTAGTAAATATTCTTGTTAGCAATGTTGGTCTGTGTGTTAGGTTCTTGTTAGTCATTCTAAACCTTGTAATACATAAAAGGTCTTGTTAGACATTTTGTTTAACCATTTATTCATCCATACTACTGTTAACAACTAGTCACTTTCCCAAATATATTATAGAGAATATTAACTACTAAAGACACAAACATGTGCACTGTGATTACCATAATAAGGGTACTTTTTTATCACATTCAACCAAGCAACGAATAGGTGTTTTTACACTGCTTTTTAATTGTATGATAACAATTAATGAAGTTTAGTAATGACGATCATATTTAATACAACAGATGATGTATTTAGAAGAAAACTATATTGTAATATGTTAGTTTCTTAACACTTCTTTCTTAATGTTAAACTGTTTTTACTTTATCAAGAAAAGCTTACTTTGAATAATTTATTCAGGTCAACACCAGGTGTCTCTGCAAAACCAGCAACCAGTGGTTAATTGTCATAGTCTAACCATGTCACAACCAGTAAGCAAGACAGCACCACCTGTACTGAAGAAGCATGTCATCCTCTCTCCACAGTCTAGTTCAGGTCTGTGTTAGTTTAGCTCTTTTTGACCACCAGGTTTTTAATTTGTGCTTATGAAATTGCAGTAGTATAAGACGTGGTTACAGCACTGACTTGCTGTTTGTTTTTCTCTCAAAGCTCTGTGGAAAGAGCTATCTCAAAAAGAATACAGTTTGGAGTTTAGCTGTTTAAATATTTCCCACATTGTAGAAAGGCCTTTAAACATCATGCCTTATATAAACTAAAGTCATTGTTCACACTATTTATTAGAATATGTTTGAAATGGTAAATCTCATATAATGATAAAAATATAAGCTGCTGGTTGTCCAAAATAAAGACAAACTCAGCATAGATGTAGATAGCATAGACTTGATTAAGCTTTTTTAGACAGTGGGAGCACTAAAATTGCTGTGAAAATACTTAATCCAAATTGCATGAAACTTCATATAGATTTTTTTAGATGCTGGTTATAGTTGTTTTGTTTTTTCATGTGAAAATTCATAAAAGTTAACTTAGTATTTGTATTGTTTTTTTAGTTTGTGAAATTTTCAAAAATTGTGAACAGTATAAACATTTCCTTTTGTCTTATAGTTGCTATTTTATTGTTCTTCAGAAAGTTACATATCAAGTGAGTTTTAACTTGTGTGATATTCAGTAATATTTATTTTCTGTGTGATACTTTATTTTGTCCATTGCAGCATCCGACTTCCAACTATAAATCAAACTAACTGTATGACTGACAAAGATTTACTAGTAACCAATGGTATCACATTTACCTTTTACAGACAGTGTACCATGTTATTTTACTAACAATATAATTAGAAACAATTTACCTTTAATAGTTTGTTTTCAGTGAATAAAAAGTTTTTGTATTTATGACACAATAATCTTAGCAGTGTATTTAGTAAATAAAGAAGGATTGCTAACATTGCATCCTATCTTATCATACTCACAAAATAGAAATAATCTTACTTATTCTAGTAGCTCTCAAACAAACATATTGTGACACGAAAATATTATCGGGTTATTACCTTGAACAATGAACTTTTAAGTTATAAATTATTCCTGAAGAAGCTGTAAAGCAAAATATTGAGTAATAAGGGATTCATTCTGGAGATAGATACTGTTATTTTATATACTTTAATAATTATGAGTAGTGACAAAGCAGTTAGAATTGAAAACGGCTAAGAATAATAGGAATAAAAAGAACATCAGAAGCTATAAAAAAATCCAGTCCTCTAAATGTCTTGGGAGTATTCAGAACATTGTCTTGAGGTTATTCTGGTACTGGTAATCATACCATATTTTGGCCTTTTCAAAAGCATAACTAATGTCTACATGGCACTGTTTGTATTCTGTTTTCACTACAGGACATTGATGCTTATAAGATTCCATTTTGATGGTTATTAGCTTTAGCCTTTATGATTGTTCAAAGCTAACAAACAGTTCTAAGCTCTTCTATTCTTAAGACCTCTTAAGTTCAACTAATAAATTCACATCTAAACAAAGAGAAATTGTAGAAACATAAAACTAACTATCAAGCTAACTGATCATGTTGAAATTTGATTCAGAGAAATAAACAAAGCTTAGGAATCAGTAAACAAAATCAAGACGTACAATATTTACTGGTTAGATACGTAGGTATACGACAGGAATGAAACTATATAATTTTGAAAGTGAGTTGCGAGCTGCACTCAGAATTACTGAATGATTCCATTAGTCTGGCAAGGGTTAAAGTTTATATAGTATGCAGTAGAATAGGATAGACATTGTGATTATAAGAAATATCCCAACATTTTGAGGCAAGTGTCATTTAATTGAAACTACAGTTTTTAAACTTTGATGAGTATTTCCTCCTCACATTCAAACACAAAAATAAAGTAATTGTAATAAGCCTGAGAATCACCATTGAAACTTCAAAAACTTGGTTATTAAGTTAGATTCTATGAAGAACTGTGAAACTTCTGAAATAAAGCTGTACAAATGAAAAGAATATGTTACAATATCTTAGTTTATGAAAAAAAAAATCACACGATATGATAAACTATTTTTTTGCTTTAATTATACTAAATATAACTTTTTAAAAACTTTCAGACACAAGAGGTTATATAGCTTTTATCGTGATTAAACATCTAAGAAAAGTTTCCAAAATTATGGGGAAAACATGTACTTCGTATTGAATGATAACATCTACCCCTTGTTTATATCCATTGAAATGAAGCGTGCATGCATTTTCAAGACAAACAGAAACTGAGTATTGTTATAATAGATTTTATTATTCTTTTTCAGGGACTTTTCTTTCTTTAAATGAGTTGGTGGGCACAGAGTCAGATTCTTCGGGACTGCCACACTTATATCCAACTCAGACAGTTTCCTCTTCCCTCGAGCTTGGTCCTGTCACGTCCATGTCTGGAGCATTTAACCTTTCATCTGTATCACAGATAACTGAGAATAAAAATATCTACTTGGACTCACTTTTGCCACAAACTGATCTAAGGGAGACATCACTGACAACTGGTATGGATTCTGAGCCACAGATGGAGCAGCTGTCTCCACCTGACCTCACTCTGCCACCAGGTTTTAATGATAGCCTTATTTCGGGAAATGCAGGTTTGTTCACATTAACACTATGTAACCAGTAATATAACACTAATGTAAATGACAGGGTCCATTATTTTGCATTAGTAACTGACAAGTGCCATCAAATACCTGACACAATATCCATGATGCATATGTTACGCAACAGCCGAACTGATAGTCAGTGTCGATACTTGTAACATAAGTAGGCCTAGTGATACATACACTAAACCACTTTGTTGAAAGAAATAATGCAATAACAAATCGTCTAAAGTATTAAAACTGATATAAATAGGTGATATTTATCTCATTGTACACAAAATTTATGCATATAATAATAACATCTAATGAAGAATCTTGACTGACAGTAAAGTATGATACTAGTGTTAAATATTAGTCTTGCTTCAGGATTGAGTTACAAAACTCAAGTTACTTCAATAAATATAATTAATATGGAGAGAAGCTCATGAAGTTAATTTATTACTTTTTTATAACTTAAAAATAATAGAATACCATAACTAAATGAGAGCAGAAAGTTGTGTTCACCCTTGACACACACATTGTGGCAAGTGAGCCTTTATAAGAGAAATTTTAAATTCTTGAGTATCTATATAAGGAAGAAAACAATGCCAAATAGATTGTGATAATCCAAGGTTTCAGATGATGTGTATATGATTTTTGATAACTTCAGAAATAAGAAAATTATAACAAATGACATCCGAATAGTTGAATTTTACATCACCATCTGCAAATATTCACTGTTTTTAAACTTTTAGCTAGAATTATGCTTCAAGTTTGTTGTAACGCTATGTATTTCAGGCTTTGTTTCATTCATTGACAGGTTGTCACTACACAGGTGGGAAATGTATTTCCACCTTCAGAATAAAAATTCCAAAAGGAGGCTAAAAATCAACAATTAGGGCTAAAGTTAAGATTTTAGAAATTATTTCATCCAAAACAAATGCATCAAAAGAAAGTTAAAATCTCAACTTTTCAGTTATAATTTTATTTTAGAGAAGGCTTGTGAGTATACATCACAAGTGATTTTTCAAAATTTAATGTCAAGTTTTCTCCAGGTGCAACCCAAAATACCCGAATTGGAAAGGATGTTATACTTATAAATTTTCAGTTGAATAGATTTTATTTTTAAAAAAATGCATTGAAACATTCAGATGTTCCTTTTCAATACATTATTTGCATGAAGTCAAAATTTCTTGCTATTTATGAAAAAAAATACGATTTGTATTATTGGAAGTTCATTTCAAGCATTCCCCAAAGCTTTGAAATTTCAGACTTTAAGTTTAATTTAAGTTTTAAGAACTTTTCCACGGTTAACACATGGTTAAGATGTAGAGTTGTTGGTGTATTATAACATATTCTCCTTTGTTTGGACTCGTGGTTTTTAGAAATATTCATTACTTGGTTTCACAACTGTATATTTTAAGCTTACAGGAAGTAACCGAAGGTTACTCTATTGTGCTGTTAAATACATTAAAATTATGGAAAGTCTTTCTGAAATTTTTGTGTTTTTCTTTCATTTAATTAGAAGTGCTAATTCAGACTAAATTGAAACTTGATTGAAAGTACTTGGCACTTGTTTGTTTGTAACTAAAAAGGTTTTTGTAGCACCTTGTGATATAATAAAAGTTACACCTTAGGGAACCAAAGTATTTTATGATCAGTGTAGTAAAATTTAGTCCCACTATTGCCTACGATTATATTCGTTGTAACCAACCTTAATTTGAATAACTGATTTTTTTGTTTATCAGCATATGCATATAGCCTTGTTGATTTGTGCTATTAAACTCCTAAAAACTTTTCAACACTAAGAAAATTCAGAGAGTAACTAAGAAATGAGAAATATTTCATTATATTTGATCTATTGTAAGGAAGTATTCTTACCTTCCAAATTCTGTTTGTAATTTTGCTTACTCCCCCTCCCTCCCCTTTTTTGTTATCCAGGTATTTTTATAAGTATTTAAAGTTTTTAAGATTCTGCTCTAATTTCTTGGCAGAAACTTTTCATTTGGTTATAAAGTTACACTATAAAATAATGATAATATGTAGTTATAGTTTTGTCACAACTGTGGGGATGCTTCTAGAAAACAAATGGTGTCACTAATGTGGGGATGCGTCTAGAAAAGAAACGGTGTTACCGATGTGGGGATGCTTCTAGAAAAGAAACGGTGTCACAAATGTGGGGATGCTTCTAGAAAAGAAACGGTGTCACAGATGTGGGGATGCTACTAGAAAAGAAACGATGTCACAGATGTGGGGTCTAGAAAGAAATGATGTCACAGATGTGGGGATGCGTTTAGAAAAGAAACGGTGTCACAGATGTGGGGATGCTTCTAGAAAAGAAATGGTGTCACTTTAAACTATAATAATAAATACTACATAACACAACATAAATACTTACTTTTGTATAATTGACATTTATGTTTTAATTTTCAAAACACTATGTTAAAAGTAGAAAATAAATGTGATGACAATGTATTATTTGATTTATTATTTACTGTTGAGTTATACTGGTTTCTGTGAATTCCACCCCCTCATCAGTATCCCTGGACAAGAGCAAATCAAAAGATTAGTATTCATATAATGGTGGAGTGCATACGTTATGATAAAGTGTGCAATGACCCGAAAGCCTCTGCTCACTGCTACGGAGATTAGAAAGAAGAATAGCTAGCTATTTTATATAAAACTGTTACCTTTTGATAATGTTAGCTCCAATCACTGCTAAGAAGATTTTTTATTGACTGTTAGATATTCAAGGAAATAAAAATATTGAATAGTTTTTGAACTGAACTGATATAATGAGGGCAGTATTGTTATTAGCACCAAATGGTACTATAACCTGGATAGTTTAGTTTTGTTTTCAGCATAAAAAGTTAATATGTTTGCAAATCTTTTTTAACAGTATGCATATAACTAGAAGAGCATCCTTTCTCGAAATTGATTTAATACTGCAATTCAAAATATTCCCCTCGTCTCACTTGAAGAGTAAACCAGTTTCGAGAAAAGAGAGTATACTTGAAAAGCATTGGTAATGGACCGCATCTGTGTAGGAAGTTTTTGGACGACAGAAGTTTCGAACTGCTAGTGCACATTTTCAGTGCCTTTCAAGTATTTTTGTACTTTTTAACAAAACCATTTTGATTCCCTGTAATGTGTATACTCTTCTTCTATAACATGTTGTGTTTCACATTTGTCTTAGAATGGCTTGCTTTTTTTGGTGCTATACTAGTCAAATTATACCCTGTTTAAAAGAAGCATAATAAAACTGAAACTGATAATTGGTTTATTAACTAAAATTTTTTTTTTTTTTGCAAAGTTATTGTGTTTAATGTTATTAATTTTTTTTTCCATCAGGGAATCAGCTTCCATTATTAGGAGCAGGAGACAAGAAATCAAGACAAAAACAGCCTGAAGTTTCCAAAGAGGTCATTTGAAAGTTTATTAATTTTCATTAAGATTGTTTTTGACTTGGTTGTGTATTATTGGTTATCATGCTGGATTGTGAGTCTGAGGTGCGAGCTGAAATATGCCACTGAATATACTTTACACTTTTAATTGTTGTGGTGTTATAAATGTACTGGTAAGTCCTGTTATTTGAATAAGAGCAGTTGCATAGGTATCTCTTACTGCTAAGTGGTTGTCACCTTTATGGTTAGAAGTTGTAAATTAGGTATGGGTATCCTTTAATCTTAGGGGTTCCTAACCAAGAACATGTATTTCATGAGGTGTTGTTCAGTCTGAATATACCAAAATTATTAAATATTTTGAATTTGTTTTCTGAATTGTTAGATAGTTTGTTCTGCAAAGCAAATAATTAGGCAGACATTTTATTTTGTTCAGGTGCTGTTTTTTAAATCTCTTAAAAAGATGATGAAAGAAAAAAAGATTTGAAATTACTAGTAACGACAATAAAATGTATTGAAGTTTATTATATGGAGAATGTCTTAGATTTTAAGAAAGTAGGAAAACACAGTAAGAGTATTCGGCATGTTTCTTATTTTGTGCTAAGAGTTCTCTGAACGAGCAGCTTAGAACAGATGTGTGTGAAATCTCTGAGATGTACATGAAACAAAATTACTGTTCCAATTTTTCTTAAGACCATTGTCCTAGACAATAATGTTTAGCTAGTATCTGGCCATTTCTGAGTATTTTTCAACGTTGCTTTTCATATCCTTGTATTGTTAGTTAGTGTTCTTAGAAGTTTAACTTCACAGACTAACTAATAATGACTATTTAATACAATGTTTTTAGAAATAAGGGCAAAAAGAAATTTATGAATGGTAGTAAAGAGTATTAAAATTACAGAAAATATAGTGTAGTATTAGAATAGTAGAGTTTATATATTTTGTATTTTAATCATGATGTTCTCTAAAAGTGATTAATTGTTTAACTTGCTAAAATAAACAGAAATAAATTCCCTGTAGGTGAAATTGTGTTTAAAATATTAAGGATTTTATAATGGCACAGAATTTTAGAAAGCTAATTTAGGTTGTTTGTAATTATCAAACAGACTAAGTCAAAGCTAATGAATCTTATTTGAAGTACAGTGATAAATATGTTTATAATGCATATAAATTTTAAAATTTAAGTTAAAATGTTTGTAATCTGATAGATGAAACTAAAGATTAAGAATCTTGTTTGGTTTATATAATGCATTAATTAAAAATAAGATTAAAATGTTTGTAATGCAACAGGCTAAACCAAAGTTGAAAAATCTTGGTTCCTGGTCAAGCCTTGTCCAGACCGTTGATACCAGTCCAAGTTCTGCAAATACTGCTCTCAACCAGAGGTCAGCTCTTCACAGTTTTCAACAGTTTAAGAAACAGGCAAAAGAAAAACAAGATAAGGTAAGTAGTACTGTGTCATGTCTCAGCTCTAATTCATTCCCGCTGTTGGATGTCTGTATGTACATATAAAGAAATTAATAAATACCAACAGTATTCAGTCATCTGGTACTGTTGTCGAAATACATTTAATCACTCATTAGGTTAGAAAAAAAATTATGCTTTTATGTATTGGTAGTGTGGTTGTTGTCAAGTGCATAATGTGCCTGCATGTTTTTTCGTAGGTAAAAAATTCTTACTGTGCATGTTTATAATATGTATTGCCAAGAAGAATTATAGTATGATATTAAAATGATATTGTAATTCAGCCCTGTATTTTGTATAGAGCATCTACAACGAAGCTAAAATCATAGTAAAATGTACTAAGTACATTTAAAATTTAGTTTGTTAAAAAAGTTGGGACCATCTGAATTATGTGCTGTAGTTTTTATCTGTAAAATGTCAAAAAAATAATTTTTATACTTGCATTGCAAAAGAAGTCTAGCTTTACAGTTTTTTTAAAGTCCATGTTTCCTTTACCTTTCAGTGGGATAAATTGCAATATGAACTAATTAAATGAAAGCTCGTGTGTTTTACTATTATATAATTTTTGTTCTATCCTAAGAGTAAGCCAACAATTGATTTTTGTCTGGAAAGTCACATAATTTTTTAACAGACTGAGCAACCCTGATTGTCACCTATTTAAATAGTTGCTAGAGTAGTCTTAGTTTTGCATACAGTGCTGTGTTGGATACCTTTGACTGACATAGTTGTCAGCTTGTTAAACAAATGAATTTCTTTTATTAGGCATCTTTTACATAAGATCAGTGGTAGCAAGTCAGGTGCATACTCCTCTTATTTTGTATAGAATGTTTTGTAAGTTTTGCACATTTAAAAAAAAATAAGCCAATAAAAATAAGATGTTTAGGAACTAATACTATGAAAAAGACCATTCTGAATTGAAGTATTGATTTAAGATTGCATTTTTTATATATTCTTTAAAATCATTGCAAAATTCTATTTCATTTTTAACTGGTGTTTATATTATTTAAGCAGTTCAACTGACAGTTAATTGTTTTTTAGTATATAGCTTAAATAATATAAACAAGTTCAACTGACAGTTAATTGTTTTTTAGTATATGTTGAGTGTTTTTTTTTCCTGTAGTAAAAACAGTAGATAAAAGTATGAATAATCTTACCTTTGGATGTTGAATATCTGAACTGGAAACATAGTACAAAATTTCAGTGTTTTTTTAACTCTCAAGAGATTATAAACTTGAAATTTCCTTAAGTTTTTGTAATAATTGTCGAGTTACCCAAGAAATTAAATTGTGAAATATTAAAAAAAAGGTATAGTTTCAAAAGGAAATAATAGAGAGGACTTTTTGAAGATACGTGTCCCGAAGGGAAGGGGAACTAAATAAACTTACAAGTGTTTTCTTCTTTTGGAAAATAAAAGGATTAATTCAAGTATTCTTTGTTTAATCTACCATTCAGGTGGCCCATCAGTTTCTATCATCATAGAGTATGTTTTCTTGTTAATATTTAATTGAAAGTGTGTATGTCTGTACTATATATAGCAGCGACAGTTGTTAGAACAGCAGGAGTGGAGGAGGCATCAAAAAGAACAAGTGGAAAAGGAAAGATTACGTCTCGAGAGAGAGAAACAAAGGTAAGGCAACCTTCTGTTCTTTCCCACATTTTCTTCACCGTATCATAGTTTGATATGCGGAATTAATCATTTTAACTATACGTTAACAATTTACAGCAGTTATTCAGTTAAGAAAAGTTTCTGATAAATATACACTAATTCAGCAAATCTGAAAACCTTCTCATTCGTTTTCATTTCTTTATTAATTCATTTTACATTATTAATAATGCATATTTTTATGGTTACAAGTTAAGTATTTCTTAACATCACAGGTAGTAGTACTTAAGTAAGGTAAGTTTACTAGTTTTAGATGGCTTAGATTAGTGATTCTGAACATGGGACGCGTGCCCCACAGGTGGGCCATTTGAAAATGCTACAATAAGAAAATTTTTTCATTTGGGTGTGAAGAGCGAAAAACGTTTCGTGACTCAAACTAAATCTCTAAATTTTACATTATCTTATTATACATTTTCAACACCAAATTTGTTTTTATATTAAGGGGGCATCAAATTTTTTGAGGTGTCGATATGGGGCATGGAGGAAAAAAAGGTTAAGAACCACTAGCTTAGATGTACTAGAATTTGATGGTTTGAATTATTAAACATTTTAGAATCTGCCCAGAAAATGTGTGTGTATATGTATAATTTATTTATTTATTGTGTACATATATATAATTAAAACAAACTAAAAGAAGCCCATTGTCACATTTCATGTGATAGGTTTTTCAACTTATGTGTATTTGGCAACTATTTTTGTCACATTTCATGTGATAGGTTTTTCAACTTATGTGTATTTGGCAACTATTTTTGTCACATTTCATGTGATAGGTTTTTCAACTTATGTGTATTTGGCAACTATTTTTAGGCTGACTAAGGTCAATATATTTTTTTTTACAAAGTATATACCAATTTTTGTGTATGGTGTTTGAATTACCCTTTAATGTTTTTTTCTGCCAGGTGGCATCATTTTATAGCCTTTGCTTTCTTTTGAATTAATAATTCAGAAATGAAACTATATTTCTGAAACAGACAATTCAAACATAAACCATGAAAAACCACTATATTCTTGAGCCTTGATTAAACTTTTCTTTGGTAAATTTGTAATTAAATAAAAGTAAGAAGCTGGGTGACATAATTGTATGCTCAACTCTTACACTACAGACCCATGACTCTGCTCACTCTTGCCACAGAAATCCTTTAGCCACACCACTTAAAGTACTAAACTTATGTTAGTGTTGGTCACGATCAAACTTATTTTACTGCATGCTTAAATTGTTATCATTATTGTTCTTTTCTGGGACTGGCAGGAAAAAAGACAATTTTGGTTTGATTTATTTTGACTTTCATTTTCTAGAGCCTGGGATGCCATCTTTACAGAACTCGCATTTGACCTTAGTAAGGCTATCTCTGATTGGATAAAATTACCCTTTGGTGTTTCAAGAAAAAGATCTCGTGTAAAAAATAGATAATGTTAGACATGTGTGCAGGATGGCTATTCTACGCCGGCAATGCAGTATAAACATACGGTAAAGATGAATGGGAAATTAAACCACAAAAATATTAAAATGTGTTGACAATTCATAGGGTGGTCATGATAATATATATTTATTTGTGTGGGTGAATTTCTATTCTCAATTAAGACAACAAACAACTTCAGATAAAAGTTAATTTATACAACCCAGCATTTCAGCTTTCACCTTTTTCAAGTGTCAGTGAACGTCACAGGTACCAAACTGATTTTTAACTTAGAGTAACTGAAAAGAAAATAGAACGACAACAATAAAAGGGAACAGTTCACATGAAGCGTGCTTAAAGTATTGTTAACTGAGTTAGAGTTGCTGATTATGATGGTAAAAGTTAAAATGTATTATAGGGGCCAGCCATTGTACCTGTTAATGGAAGGGCACCTGGATTGAATCAAAAGAGATTCCTTAAATATTCTGTGAAGAAAATTGTCACAAGTCTAAAATTGTCATTTGATAAAGTGTCTCGTTGATTGTGCCGTGTGCTTTGATGGTCAGTGGTGGCTTCTTTGTTGTCAAGATTACTTTTTGTGGTGAATTAAAGTTGATTTAGATTCGCCACATTGAGTTTAGCTACGTATTTGCGAGTGTGGCGATCGGCTAGCTCGAGCAGAGTATAAATTTTGTCCTAAAAAGCAAGTATCGCATAAGTTTATTTCCAAAATGCAATTACAGGCCTAATGACATGCTAGTTATTAACAAAGTAGGGTCACAGGCCTAATAATGTCATATGCTAGTTATTAGTATAATATTATTACAGGCCTAATAATGTCATATGCTAGTTATTAGTATAATACTATTGCAGGCCTAAAGACACCATGTGCTAATTCTTAGCAAAATACTATTACAGGCATAATAATAGCGTATGCTAGTTATTAGTATAATACTATTGCAGGCCTAAAGACACCATGTGCTAATTCTTAGCAAAATACTATCACAGGCCTAATAATAGCGTATGCTAGTTATTAGCAAAATACTATCACAGGCCTAATAATAGCGTATGCTAGTTATTAGCAAAATACTGTAACAGGCCTAATATCATATGCTAGTTATTTGCAAAATACTGTCACAGGCCTAATGACATCATGTGATAGTCCAATTTATTGGAAGATATATCTTGCTCATAAACCTTACCTGTATACATTTATTTAAAAAGAAATGCTGATCTCTAAACTCATGCTGGAATGAAAGCCCACTTGAAGGTACAATTATTTTCAAATTACAAGCAGTAGTTTTTGTTTTTAAAGTTTTAAGGAATGTCAGAGTAATTACTTCAACAAAATAAAGAAGCAGGAGAACCAATTAAATTCATTTAGTATATCTATATATCATAAAAAGTAATAATACAAAACCATGGTAAGGTTAAGATTCTTCGAAGGTATTCAATCATAAAATGCTTCTTACATTCTAACAAATAACATTTATAAATAAAAGAACAATAAAAAATTTATATAATACTCCGTATAGTTTTGGTAGAACTAACTTTTGTAATTGAGTTTCAGATAGGTCTTATTTTGTACTAAAAAAACAATCAAACATACTTTAAAGCATAGCTTCATTGATTCATTTGATGATATAGGGAAAAAGATGAAGAAGAAGCCTTGGAAAGAGTACGGAAAGCCCACCAAGCACAGTGGCAGCAGGGAGATAAGAAATCACAAGTTCTCAACAACCAGCAGAGTTCTGCAGCTGATGATCGCGAACGACAAAGACAGCGAGAAAGAGAGCAGGCAAGGAGAAGACGAGAAGCTGTAAGTAAAAGTCTAGAATAAACACTTCAGAATTGATAACTTTTGATCACCGACAGTAATTTTTAAAATAAGTAATTATAGATAACAATTACTTGATGTTACTCTTAGAAGAAATGGATTGAATATTGTTTAATTTATTTTAAAACTATGGCTCATCTATCAAATAGACACGTTTTTAATCGTAATATTGGCACGTAACATTCAGTTTGATTCAAGTTAGTTCTAAATTTCCCTTACAGATGGCGGGTCAGATAGACATGAACCGGCAAAGTGACATTATGGCAACTTTTGAAGAGATGCTGTAACTAACTTTATAAGAAGTGTAGTAGTAGCATTTAGTACACTCGGTTACCAAAAGAAGAGTGACTTAAAACAGGTATCACTTTGTCAGTCGTGTTGATAAAAGTTTTGTTGAAAAGTGATGGCACCATGTTTATGGAGGCTATGATGTTGCAGGTGGAGTAACGATAATGTTGGACACCATTATCGTCAGTGCTTGTTCATCCAACAGATGATATACGGAAACTTGTAATAAGAGAAATATACCCTCGAGTATTGAATGTAAGACTTTTGTGAAAAAAAAAAAATGCTATAAGCACATATTACATTGTCATTTTATATTATTGATCAGTGTTGTGTATGCTTGAACATTAACTTCACATGTTCAAGGTGAGTTGGGAATTTGGAACTGAATTTTGTTTTCACATCATCATAGTATTGAAAGATAAACCGTGTTTACCATTTTCCTTGTGGTTTTCACAGTGAATTTTAGTTTATTTTTCCCAGACATAGAAACATCTTCAAATCCATGTATTATAACCTTATAAAACATTATCAGCTCATGAAAATGCCTCTTATATGATTAAATTAGTAGGTGCGGAAGTATTGTTTTTTAGACGTCTTCCCAACAAATCTTTTTAAGAGATAAAAACCTACTGGACATGTGGTCATTAATTATGTAAATGATTAGTTGGTCTGAGCACATTTACAATTTTGTTTGTTGTATAACAACTTCTATATAGTGTTCTGCTCGCCTCTTTACATACACATTAAACACACCAAATCAAGCATATAAGTATTCATTGTGTCTTTATGGTGGAATGTTTGTTCCCCAAACATAACAGAAATTTAGGATAATTTTGTTAATAAGTCAAGCCACACTTTTTATGTGTTGCTTAGTTTTATGCCTGCTGCTATATTAAGTTTGACCAAATAAAAAAAAAAGGCACATTTCCACTTAGCTAAACTTGTGAATATGTGTATACAAGTGTGTATGTGAAACTAAGACTGTGTAGTTTAGTTTCAACCTGTGTTGAGTATGTAAATATTCGTTATCATTTTAGAAACCAGATCAGTGGAAGTTTTCATATTGTACATTCTCATTTTCAAGGAGTTCTCAGCTTCTATCAACAGTAGGGGTATTAGTATAATAGTTATTCTTTACATTTCTTACTTGTTTTTTTAATATTTTGTTATACAACTTAGGGGTTTGGTGATGGTTCTTTACCTGTGTTTGCTGTGAGATGTGATCGTCAGTAGAAGGGTTAAATGATAGTTTGTTAGGAACAGGCTGTACTTGAGGAGATTGTTAATAGATTTCTACGATTGAAAGTTGTAAGGTTTTCCAGAAGAAGGGATGAATACTAGAGTAAGCTATTTTTGAGAGGTTCGGTACTGGTTCTCCTGTAGAGTAGATGAGTGCTCTCATACAAGGTCGTGTTTGAGGGATGTATGTAAGTTGTATGACTTTCAACTTGAAGCCATTAATAGTGGTTCTCTGTAAGCATAAGCTGCTGTGTTTTAGGTATTTGTAATTGGTAATGACTTCAGTAATTTGTATGTTTTACTATGAAATCTACAGGTTTTTTTTCACGTGAGCTACGTGAAGGTTTTATATTGCACAAAATGAAACAAGTTTGCTGTTATATGATAAAGAGTTTTGTGAAAAGATTCACAACACAGAGAAGTTCTACTATTAGTGGTATACACAATAGTCCTGTGTTTTTAGTTTAAGCTAGGTTAATTTTTGTGAGTAAATGAATGCTATACCCTTGTAAGTGAATTAAAAGGATATTGATGTAGGTTACTCTTTTTGACTGAAGCATTGTGTTCATATGGTCCAATAGTTTGGTGTATTAAGACTTCACAATACATGATATATTGTTTTGTATTTTTCTTCTATATAAATGAAAGTTTTAAGGATGAGTAGTGTGTTTAGTAAAATAGCTGCTTTCAAAACGTGAGGCATTTGGAACTGCATGTGTTTATTTAAAATATAAATATTATACCTAATTGTCTCGAACTCATTACAATAAAAAAGATGGTTAGGCACAGTTGATACTTCTCTGTTTTTAAGCAAACAGCTTTGATCAAAAGTAAAAATGTGGAAGTCATTGTACTATTTACTTGTTTCTGATCTGATTTGACTTCAAATCTCCACCAATTTTCACAAAATATTTTATTATTTATTGTATTGAAAATAACAATGACATTTTTCAGTGTTTTACATCATCAATTAAATATAGAAATATATATTTTGCGATCAAACCTAAATTTGAAATGCCAATTTATAAATTAGACCGTACTCAACTGTACAAATATCTACGTCCTTCTAAGTACCATTTCAGGTGATTGTCATGATAAAAAAAATAGTTTGAGTTATGTCCTCTTCCTTCAGCTAATTTGTTTAAAACTCAACAAGCAAAAATAAAAATTTTTTGTTTCAAACTAAAGATTAATGCACTCATTCTAGAAAGGTTGTTTTACAGTTTATCATGGGAAAATAAGTCACTTTGGAGTGTAAACAAAGTACCCTCTAATCTGTTTATGTAAATCTTTTCTACAGTAAAAAGCATGACCATATAATTTGGCTATAACCTGCTGTTGTTATTACACCTGGATATAGATTGTTACAATCTCGGTAAGTGCATTATAGGTACCATTTATAAGCAAAACACATTCATTCGGAAACAATCAGAAAAACGTGTGTATGCTAACAATCACAGTCTTTTCTTAAATCATACTGCAATTTCAAAAATAACGTGGATGTCTTTTTTTTTTTAAAGGCAGTTACAGAATTATGATAAACTGAATTTGATGACCTTGTAATCATTATTTGTAAGTTTAAGTGATTAGAAATGACATTCACAAAAAAAAACAACAACTAAAACTTAAAGAAACTAGATTTTTCTTCGAAACGGTTTTGAAGATTGTTTAATATTTTCAACAGAGTAATTTAGAAAACTGGCTGATTGTAGCCAAGCGGCATGTGCGTAAAACCGTGAATTTGAAGGTTCGTGTTTTGCATTCTGCTGCAATAAATTCGTGCTTCATGCTTTTGGGGTACTGTGAGTGCATTATAAAAAATCTCGCTCGTTCGTGTAGTTAAGAGTTGTTAGCGGGTGCTGTTGATTAGTTGCCTTCTTAGCTCTTTAGCTTTGTGCAGATATTCGAAACAAACCAGATTTAGAAAGTTGTTTTTGTCTTTATAGCAACAAGATAGGTGTGTGCAAACAAATTCACGGGAAAATTATTTCACCAAATTCTTTCTTGACGTGTAATTGTGAACTTGTCATGGTGCTTGAATTATTACATTGTTTTTCTTAATGGCAAGTGACTAAGTTACCAAAATTTTAGATAACATATGCTGTATTTTGTGTTGATTTATTTTTTTCAGTGCTTTAAACATTAGTTATAGATTTAAAAAAAAAATTACCAATGCAATGGTACTAATTAAATTCCACATAAAAGTTGTAAAAAAAAGAAACATTAACACTTGTATACTTAGGACTTACAACACTATATATCTACCATATGGTGTTTTTGAATTCACGTTCAGTTATTTGTGACATTCAATGTTGGAGAAGTTTGTAGTTGTAAGTAGTGTGACTGTACGTATGGGATCAATGACGTGTGTAAGCGATACGTGGAAAATTATTATATTTACTGTGCTGTTCAGATGTCGGAATGATGCATAATTTTATTTTTGTACCCTGTTGAACTCGTTTCGTTTTACCTAATCAAGCTTCCGATTAGCTCCAAAAAAATTTCATCTTGCTCAATATTTTCGTAGTAAAATGATACGTAGAAGCATTCAATTAGTATTATATTTAAGGTTGTGTAGCTTTGTTTCACGAGTTTGTTTTTGCCTTTCAAGAAGTGATCAAAAATGCATTTTCTGTAACTGAACTTTTACGTATAAAAGTTCAAAATCAGAACTCAATAGATATGTATGGTATGATTTGTTTGTTTTTTTTAAATAAAAATGATTGAATGCTAGTTACTTTATTTTGGAATGGTGAAAGCAATGATATTCACCATTTAACTTTTGTTGTTAGAATTATTTTGATTTTAACATTTTTCTTGTACATTCTCTTGATAGGTTATGTTTGATTTTTTTTCTACAGAAAATGCATTTTCTCTTTGTAGTGTTCTTATCTATTCTTAGGCTTTTTTTCATGACTGACAAAATCATGTACGTGGCTTAGCTTATAATGATCAGTGTATTTACTGCATTGAACCATTAATTTAATGTTACAGACTAGAAATGGATGTGTTAGCATGCGATAGAGTAAGAATTAAGGATTAAAGTAAAAACTCAATATACACTTTAGAATATATGGCTTTGTCATGCTTTTTAATGTCATTATGAAATTTGAAATTTCTGAACAGATTTATAACAGTGTGATGAAACTGTTTCATCAAATGAATGGATACCTTTTTCAAGTAAAATTTCCTTTCACTTGGGGCCAATCAAAATCACTTTTCTTGGGTAGTATAGTAATTGATTCAAGTGATATATATATATATATTAGGAAGTTGTCAAACATTTGTCTGTAACTTAAAAAAAACAAAATCTGTTTCACAAAATAGCAGACTGAAATTATTTAATTGTATACAGTCGAAAAGAACAAGATATGTGAGGAAGCAACAGTGTAGTCAGTAATTGGATTCTAAACAAATAAGGACATGGTTCTAAAAATAGAAAAATTAAGTTATTAAACAGACTGTTGCCAAGAGAATTTTTTATCGTAACATTAAGGTGACATACGAAATCTTTGCGATATATGTATCACAAAGTACTTATCTAGTTAGTTTCCAGTTCTTAGATTTTTTATCCATTAGATTGATTGCCTAATTAATGATGATATACGATACATTCTGATATGGAGAAGGTGGTGCATGTGATATTGGTATCAAGATGATGGAAAATTGTGTGTATGGAACATGGGAGTCGTAGTAGGAGAATTGTTCTTACCATAACGTAACCATTTATTTTATGTGCGAGTGTTATTATGTTGGTTTGATTTTGTGATCTAATCATGTTCATAAGTTTTATATTTTCCCATTAAATTGATTAAGAAGGTGTTGAAAATAATCACGATCTTTCAAATGAGTAAATTTCCAGTCTGTTTTATTTTCCAAATAATGGGGTTTTTATGATTAGTTACAGCAAAATCGATGAATGCAGTTTAAAGTTAAAAACAAACAAACAATATGTATTTTGAGCGGATACATTTATGTGGGAGCAAACTCCACCTGACACAGGGCTAAAATTCCAGAGTATAGTTTAAGAAACATTGTACTTTACGAAGACTTACATGGGTAGAAAAACGGAATATATTTTTTCGAGTTGTGAAATTTTTTTGTTTGACAGTTTGGTTCAGTAGCTGAACCAGTTTCATAGTAATTTCTGTCATTCTTGAAATTAGATGTCTAAATTTTAAGTACCTTGAAATTTTCAGTCCCGTGGTTGTTTTACATTACACACATTTTTTTAATGATATAGTAGAAGTCAGTAAGATTTTTTTGGCTACTTTTACTTCAGGTCTTTGAAGAGTGTGCACTCAGTCGTTTTGTAAAGAATCTCAATTTTTCTGAGGTTAATGGTAACATTTTCATTAAATTCTTACTGGATATGAACTTGGTGTAAATATGAACGTTGCATTTTGATCATGGATTGTTCCAAAATCCACAACTGTGTAATCTGTGACTGAATGTCAAGCAGTTTTTTAAAGGTTACAAATTATTTATTTTCAGTATAATTAGGTTGTTGTTTAAGAGTCTGTAAGGTGTCTGTGTAATAATTTGAGTATGTTTTCAGTAGGTAGAAAAGTGAGTTTCCTGTGAATTTAGGGTTGATCCAAAAACTCTTATATTAAGATTAAATATGGATAAAAATGTTGATAAAATATGAATTATATATTAATGATGATAGCATTCTGATGAATAAGACAGATATTTTGTTCCTCATGTTTGCCACCTATCAGATTTTATTTTTTTGTTGTTTACTGATGCAGTTTTTGCTTCTTTTCTCATGTTTTTATATCTGACATATTTTTGTCTTGTGTCATAAAATCATTAAACACATTTTACTATGTATGTTGAAGGAGTTTGTATAATGTATTGATAGTAGATGTAATTAAGTGAAAACATCCAAATAGAAGTTCCATCTTCTGATTAACCCCTAGTATTTCATACTACATCTGACTGATGATTCCAGTTAACTGAATTTAACCTTTGATTGAAGTGTCTAAATAATCTAAAGCTAACTTTTTAAAAGTACTTAAATTTGTTTGGGTTTTTTTTAACCTGCAGAGTTCGTGTGTGAAGGATGCAGCCCTTGTAGTGCACCAGGTAAAAAAAACAAAAAACATTAGGCCACTTTGTATGTTCTGTATTTTGAAGGAAATATCTTTCAAAATTTCCGTAATAAGAAACACATAATTATGTTTATGGTAAAGATACGGTTGTTTTAAACTAAACCATAATTATCTTTCCCTCCTTTTAGTTGAGATTACTTTTCTTCAGGTGTATAACAATAATTTAGGTTTGAATGCGAATCAAGTAATAATACATTTTTTTTCAGAGGTCGTACAGAGACTAGGTGAATCATTGTAGCATAAATCCGTGTTCTGTATACAACTTAATCTTAGTAGATAGAAAATTATGGTCTTTAATACTTGAAATGATGGATTGGAACTCGTGAAGAATGATTTCTAAGTTTTTGAGAAGAAAAAAAAACGTAGTTTTATAAACGTGATTTAAAATATGTACATTATCATACTGTGTGAAGTAGGTTTTTAAATGAGACTTTGTATTGTATTTAAATCTGTTTTGAGTGAACCAACGGTGTTATCAGTTTTAGATGTCCAATGCTAATTTTTTTTTTAAATCTTGAATCTTAAAAAAAACCACTTCCTAAAATTTGATATTCAAATGTGTTGTTGTTGTTTTTTTTTTCTTGCAAGGTGTATGTGCTTTCATACCACAGATTAATTTCTTGATAATTTATTGTTACAAAAGTGTTAGATCTCCTGAGGTTTCACTTTAATCCAGTTCCAGAAAATGGAAGGAAAGGCTTTTAGGAAAGACTTGTAAATAATTTGTGTAGTTAATATGTTTAGATTGTGGTGAGACGTTTGTCGCCACCGGTAAGAAAATATATACATAATGTGGAAATGTTTGTACTCTGAATGTGTGTGAATGATTTTAAATATTAAAAGGTTTTAGTACTCAATATATTGCATTTCTGTTTATTTCTTCATTTACTCCACTTAGTTTTAGACGGATATTAATTGAGTAACCTTCTTACCTAGGGTGACCAGACATCCCGCTTTTGTCTGGTAGTTTGGTAGAAAAGTTCTCGGGACCCAGAAAACATCCCGGTTTTATGATAAAGACGTTCAAACTGTCAGTCGCATCGAATCTCGTATGTAATAAGCCTACATGACGTGCTCGTTGTTGTAATAACTCTCCTGCCGCCAAACTCTATTGAAAGATCCGTTTGTGCACGGTGAGAAACCCCGATCTGCGCAAGTGTTTTAGTAGTACTCTAACTGGACCTATAGAAGTCTGTGTTTAGTAGTATTCTAACTGGACCTATAGAAGTTTGTGTTTAGTAGTACTCTAACTGGACCTATAGAAGTTTGTGTTTAGTAGTACTTTAACTGGACCTATAGAAGTTTGTGTTTAGTAGTACTCTAACTGGACCTAGAGAAGTTTGTGTTTAGTAGTACTCTAACTGGATCTATAGAAGTTTGTGTTTAGTGTTACTCTAACCGGATCTATAGAAGTTTGTGTTTAGTGGTACTCTAACTGGACCTATAGAAGTTTGTGTTCAGTGGTACACTAACCGGATCTATAGAAGTTTGTGTTTAGTAGTACTCTAACTGGACCTATAGAAGTTTGTGTTTAGTGCTACTCTAACTGGACCTACAGAAGTTTGTGTTTAGTAGTACTCTAACTGGACCTACAGAAGTTTGTGTTTAGTAGTACTCTAACTGGACCTACAGAAGTTTGTGTTTAGTAGTACTCTAACTGGACCTATAGAAGTTTGTGTTTAGTGGTACACTAACCGGATCTATAGAAGTTTGTGTTTAGTAGTACTCTTACTGGACCTATAGAAGTTTGTGTTTAGTGCTACTCTAACTGGACCTACAGAAGTTTGTGTTTAGTAGTACTTTAACTGGATCTATAGAAGTTTGTGTTTAGTGGTACACTAACTAGACCTATAGAAGTTTGTGTTTAGTAGTACTCTAACTGGACCTAAAGAAGTTTGTGTTTAGTAGTACTTTAACTGGATCTATAGAAGTTTGTGTTTAGTGGTACACTAACTAGACCTATAGAAGTTTGTGTTTAGTGGTACACTAACTGGATCTATAGAAGTTTGTGAATGTGCGTTTGGAAATATCGTGGAACAGTTAATTAGATAAAAGTATAATTAATTCAAATTTGTAATGAACATTTTGAAATTAGGGGCAAGGGCTGGGCTGTCTCGATTTTTCGGTTTGGTAATCTGGTCACTCTAAATCCTTACTCTTTATCTAAATCTTTTATTTTTTGAACCATAGTTCATTGCAGGTTGTGTTACTCATTTGCCCTTTTGTCGTCTCCCGGTAAGACAGCGGTGAGTTTATGGAATCCAGGGTTCGATTCACCTCAGTGGACACACACAGATAACCCAATGTGGCTTTGCTCTATAAATAAACGAACATACAAACAAGCTATTTTGTCTCCAAAAATACATGTGTTCCATATGATTCGTTTGCCATAATTGAAAAAGCAAAAATGGATTGGCGTAATTTTTGAACTTACAATCAGAAATACTGGTGAAATTATTGATTCAGTGGAAAAATACTTTTTTTTTTTCTTATGGGAGGTTCCCAATTCACTTATAGAAAAGCACCTAACCAATCTAAATATAAGGTTAGCCATAAATGATGCTTAATCTAAAGCTCGCTCTAGAAAACAGAATACTAGCCTATTAATCCAGCCGAATCAAAAATGATATATTTCATTGTTGAATGAAACCTCTCCATGCTACAACTCTTGTAAATGACACAGGCCTGCAATGGTCTATTTTCTTAAAATTTTTACATGTTCTACAGAAATTCCTGTACGCTAAATCTGAAAATGATATCCATTTTTCTCCATTATGTACAGATTTTTTCACAAAACTTCATAATGCAATATATACAAGAAAGACCACAACACTAGTTTTGAGACTAAAAGACGTAGCTTTCGCACAAAAAATCAGGAGGAATGAGGATGCATATTCGTTTGACATCAGTGTTCTTCCATTTTCTTCAGTTTGTTTGTATTTTTCTTAACAAACGTAATAAAAAAATTTTTCATTGTGGTAAACGAAATAATAATTTGATCTAAGTAAGAGCTTTTTCATTCCCGATATGTAAAAAATCCTTCAAACAGCCTCCAATGAGACCTTAAAAGAGGCTCTCGAGGCCAAAACATCCCCTCTGATGATGGCTGAGCTGCTTTCAGACTCACCTTGACCATACAGTGATGGTGGTCTGCAGCAGTTTCTTCATGGTTGCTGGTGATACTCTGTTCGAGGATGGTTAGGGTTCTACCCACTTCTTACTAGAGCTGTTTTCAGACTCATCTTGACCATACAGAGATGGTGGTCTGCAGCAGTTTCTTCATGGTTGCTGGTGATACTCTGTTCAAGGATGGTTAGGGTTCTACCCACTTCTTACTAGAGCTGCTAATGCTGGGAAAACTTCAGAGCCAGCCCAATAACTGAATCAACAAAATACCACATACCTGATGCATCAGCCAGCAATGCATCTTCATCCATCTTTGGATCAGTGAAGAAGTACATGTCCTCACCGAACATAGAATCCCAAGTGGCCATTGTAGTTCCTTCCTTTATGGCAGTATGAAAGTAATTTGAGGCTCTAGTTGAAGAACAAGATAGCCAGAATTGGTAAAAAATTGGCCTTAAATAGCAAACGTCTGGATTGAAAACTTGAGGCAGATGAATTCTAGTTGTTCAGAAGGTCAGCCAGATGTGTTGGTTGTAAAGGGTCATAATTGCCTTGTTAAATCCATACTGTTCTCTAAAACTACCTTCAGAGATAGAGTATATAATGATTACCTTGCTTGGTCAAATAGCATTTCTACAGGCTCATACCATGTTTACCCATAGAGGATCTATCCCAAATGCCTGTGAACTTCTCAGTCTGCAGGCTTCATTGGGTCTTCAATTGAACAATAGCTGTGCTGTCCCCTGTTGCCATTTCTGTGACGACGGGCAACACAGCTTATACTTTGACCCAGGACTATTCCCTTCACGTCTGTTTGATTGGTATGGTTTTGAATTTCGCCCAAAGCTACACGAGGGCTATCTGCGCTAGCCATCCCTAATTTAGCAGTGTAAGACTAAAGGGAAGGCAGCTAGTCATCACCACTCACTGCCAACTCTTGGACTACTATTTGACCAACGAATAGTGGGATTGACCGTCACATTATAACGCCTCCTCAGCTGAAAGGGCGAATATGTTTGGTGGGACGGGTACTCGAACCCGCGACTCTCAGATTGCGAGTCGAGCGCCTTAACCACCTGGCCATGCCGGGCCACTGTTTGATTGTTATGTAAACAACACCCACTTCCTTCAGGGAAGGAGTGGGGTTGAACATGCAGACTTTTTCCTACACATATGAGTTGACTCAGGTTACTATATGCTAACCTTCACTTATCTAACCTATATAAAAGCCAGTGTGTGTCACGTCACGCTTGATTTCTCGAAATAGGAGTCATAAAACCAAAATGCATTTATCCAGAGAGTTAAATTATTCGATTGCTGTCTGCCCATTACGATGTTAGTGACGGGGGTGCTGTGAAACCTTATAAGTGTAGCGAGTGTTAGTATAATAAGCTTAAAGTAAAGACGTAGTGTGGGGTAACCTACCCTAGAGCCAAGTGCATAAAATTTATCATGAAAGTTAAAATATCAATTCAATTTTAAACATAAATCGTTTCTGAATTAAGCTGTTTTATGTTATATCACCAACGACAGCATTTTCTGTCTCTTTGTTGGTGAAGCTTGATTTCGTAAAATTTAATTCAATTAGCTATGAAATGTGAGAGTAGGGTATACATTTTTGACGGGCTATACGCTAGTGAATATTAGAATCCACCGATGTTTTTATCATCTTCCAGACGCAAATACAGTAATAATTTCACCACACAGGTGCTACTTACCATACACCTGCATTTTCATGCGTCTTTAACTGCATGTTGCAGCGAAACAAGGTTAAAAAAATAACCAAATAAAGTAAAGAGTACGAGAAGTTTACCCTTGTTATCATATCTGAGGTAAATTCTGTGAATTTTATTTACTACTGGCAACTTCATCCACTCCATTTCATGATGAGCCAGACGAGGAAGCACCAGACCTTGAGGCAACAACCCACTTATTGATATGGCTGGGCTTCAACTCGACCATCAAGAAGTTAGGATGGCTGATACCAGCAGATGCCTAGTACATCAACAGTTTGCTAAAAGGATGTTGCAACCCTTACTTCCGAATCTACCGAGTGATTTTCTGTGGCAAAATTTTGTCCAATGTTTCCGAGAATCGCTCACCCGATCTAGCTAAATGACAATATCTTTATGGAACATACGAGATGGTCCTTACCAGATCTTTCCTGATATATCTAAAGAGCAGTTAACTTCTCAACATACAGTGAGGGAGTTGAGTTCCTTCTGAGTGTATGTTAATATTTACTGCAGTAACAACATAAATGTTAATCTTGACTTACGATAATTTTAGCTAATCCCTGTTGATGACTATATATTTTGTGATGCTTGAAAAGTTAACGTTAATGGCTCCTAGATGGCAGCACGTTACTGCACCATGGCCTTTGCGATGCAACTCGAGAACGTTACCAAAGTTCTTCGTGCATGAGCCATAGATAGTCTGTTTTAAGCTATCAGTGCATCTCTGACAACGTGTAACGAAGATATATAGATATGGCAACCTGTATGTGTAAATAAATATATATGTGTTTTTACATGCGTGTGTATCAACATTACACGAAGTCATTCACGAGTAATGTAAAACATCCAGTGCTCGAAGTAGAAAGTAAACGTGGTTAAGAATTCTAAACAATAACAACCTCTATCACCACTTTGTGCGCGATCGTACCTCCACTTCGAGCACTGATAACATCAATAAATCATATTACATCAATACGTAAACAACTATTAAGCAA